AGACATTTTTTTCGATAGAAGGTAGACATTTGTCACCTTTGAATTTTAGGTGGGCTCATCTTTCTGTTTTTATTACTTTTTCTTGCTTAGATTTTTGTTGCATTTTGGTGAGGATTTGTGTTAAAATTTTGTACGAACAGGTGATCACAAGATACCTGCGCACAGGTTTTGGTCTCAAGTTACTTGGAACATTGAAATAGAGGTAGCCAAAAAGAGAAATAAGAAAAAAGGGGGTCAGCATTTGGCTTTTAAGAGAGGATTTTGGGAAAATTTTACTAGAGCTTGAGTGGTGGTACAAGGTACGGCGAATCAAGAAGTCCCCATAACGAAGAGGAAAGAAGTCCCACCACCCAGACACTTGTCAACAGTCTTGGGACAGTGCCGAAGAAGTCTTAGGAGAGGACAGTCTTGGGACAGTACAGTCTTGGGACAGTGGTCTTGGGACAGGGTCTTGGGACAGGGTCTTGGGACAAGGGTCTTGGGACAGGGTCTTGGGACAAGGTCTTGGGACAAGGTCTTTGGACAAGGGTCTTGGGACAGGGTCTTGGGACAGGGTCTTGGGACAAGGTCTTGGGACAGGGTCTTGGGACAAGGTCTTGGGACAGGGTCTTGGGACAAGGTCTTGGGACAAGGGTCTTGGGACAGGGTCTTGGGACAGGGTCTTGGGACAGGGTCTTGGGACAGGGGTCTTGGGACAGGGGTCTTGGGACAGTAGTCTTGGGACACTAGTCTTGGGACACTAGTCTTGAGACACTGGTCTTGGGACACTAGTCTTGGGACACTAGTCTTGGGACAGTAGTCTTGGGACAGTAGTCTTGGGACAGTAGTCTTGGGACACTAGTCTTGGGACAGTAGTCTTGGGACACTAGTCTTGGGACACTAGTCTTGGGACAGTAGTCTTGGGACACTAGCCTTGGGACAGTAGTCTTGGACAAGAGTCTTGGGACACGGCCGGAAAGTACTGGGACGGTACCGAACAGTCTTGGGACAGGAGAAAGAAGCCTGGGACGGTACAAAGAAGAGTAGGGACGGCAATTGGAAGTCTTGGGACAGTATAAAAATTGAAGTAAAATTACAAGAAGTGTTTTAAGACAGAATTAAGATAGAACAAGACTAATTGGAACCAGGTACGGTTGAGACTACAAATAAGGAAAGTTTCTCGAAAAGTTAATAAAGAGAACTGAAACAAGGTTTTCACCACGTTGTATATTTTTTTAAGAAATATTTTTTTTTTCTCGAAAGATTTTATTCTTAGAATAGGATTGTGTATATAGTAAAATTGTAAATAAGAGCAATTGTAAATAAAAATAATGAGGCGGAGCAGGGTACCGGTAGCTGAAAAAAGAACTACCGAAGCAAAGTATAATTCGTCGCTACGCAAAACAACATCAATGGGCCCAAAGATAACAAAGAAGAACTTTTCAGTTAACATGGTCAGCACAAGGAGTACAGCGGAGAACAGGGCAAAAGAGGGCACGGAAGGGGAACGAGTGGAACCCACCATCGAGATTGATCTAGAGACACCCGATCAAAGCGTAGATGAACTGGAGAAGAAGACGACGGAGTCAACTCCAATGCCCAATGCAGAAGAACCAAACCAGAAACCCATAGAGTTCTCACCAATAGACGATGTGGAAGATGCAATAGGCAACACCGAAGAAACGGTGAAAGAAGACTCCCAAGTAAAAAAGACATCTTTTACAGAAAGGTTGGCGATGATGGTCGGAATAAAAACGAAAGAGAACGTGACTGAAGAACCAAAAGCTGAAAGAGCGCGAACATTTGGGACAGTGAGCACGAAGACGACAGAAGCCAATCCGAGAGAGGAACAAACTAAAGCAGAAGCAACGGCCGAAGAAAGATCAACGGCTGACCATGAAGAGGCTACTCTTGAGCTAGGTGACTTGATGGCAAAACTGAATCAGATCGACAAAAAGCTGAAGCACAGCGAAGAGGACAGAGAAGTGATAAGAAAAGAATTAAGATACAACAAACACGAGTATCTGGATAGTTATTTTAACCTGGCTAAGGCAACAGACGAGAGACTCAAGGAGATGACAGATAAGGTAGAAGCCACCAATAAAGAACAAGAAGGGAACATCAAAAAAGATTTGCAACAGTTGAAAAACCGATATGATGATGTCAACAGCCAAATAGGTAGCCTGGAAAAGAGGCTGGACACAATGAGCAAGAATCAGGCCGAAAGTTCAGGTGCAATACAGACGAAATTGGATGCAATCTTGAGAAATTCTACCTCACAAGAAAGACCGGCAGCGGATCGCACGCAAGGCACCAGAGTTGACTTTGTAGAACCACAAAGGGGTAAACGGCAATCGACACCGTTGCCCTTAACCCGGGATACGGTGAGCATAGCACCAACGGCTGATAAAACAATCATGAAAAGTGGGAATTCAAACACAACAAGTGGTCCGGGGGACTCAACAGCTAGCAGCAACGCAGGTCCGGATGCCATGACGTGGGCAAGCACTTGGGAGATGATGAACAGGACTCTAGAGGCCTTCGCCACGAGGAACACTAACTCGAGCGATAGGAGAGACGGAAAATCAAGGAAAACTTTCAAGAAGCCAAAAGAATTCAAAGACGACTCAGATGGATGCATTGACACGTGGGTGGAAGTGATGAGATTACATCTAGAACAAGATAACTTAAATGATGAAAGACAAGCATGCACAGCCATACTCAGTAACCTGGAAGGCACGGCATTGAAATGCGTGGTTGCAAAGAAAGAAGAAGAACGCGATACCGCGGACAAGATCTTCGAGATATTGCTGAATCGATTCGGGTCAGGCATGAAGGGTCACCAAGCGATGATGCGATTTGAAAAGAGAAGGCAGAGGGACGACGAGTCAATAGATCGGTTCCTAGATGATCTCGAGAGCTTGAGAAGAAGGAGTGACCCAGAGGAGTCGACAAACAGAAGAAACTTTAGCATTGCCTCGAAGTTCATTGATGGGGTAAAAAGTGACGACTTAAGGACAATGTTAGCAACATACTACACATTGTCGAAAGACAGCGCACCAACCCCAGAAGAAATGAGACAGAAATCAAGGGAATACATGCTGATGAAACCCAAGAAATACTCATATACAGAAAACAGGAACACGCAGGGGGGAAGTCAACCCCAGAGGTCGTCATGGTACAAGCCTAGAGATGACATGGACAAGCGCAGATCATGCGCGAACTGCGGGTCGGCGGATCACCATGTGGCTGACTGCACAACATACAAACAAGGCATGAAGAGCCTAGGATACGCACCGGATGAGGAGGACATGAGCCAGATGGAGGAACACGAGTACTATAATGGCTTAATCATCAAGATAGGCGCCAGATGCTTCTTCTGTAACCAGGAGGGGCACTTCAGAATGGATTGTCCCTTGTTCTGGGAAGCGGTCAAGGACCAGAATCACCCCAAACATAAGTTGGCATTAGCGGCGGTACAGAATCAGCGGAATAGGCAGAACGAGTTTGAATCTAGGAACTTAGGGGCACCAAACACCGAATTGCCGACGAAAACAGTGAAAACTGTAACACATGTCAACGGTGCGATAGAATCCGCGGCCGGGAAATCTCTAGAGACAAATTATGAGAAAGCGGCGACGGAAGCAATTGCCAAAGTGAAACAGGATCTGGCAGCGAAAGAAATAGAGCAACGACTAAAGCTGGAGATAGAAAGACAGAATTTTAACGAAGCATTAACCGGATCGAAACAAATACCAGAGGCTGTACCGGGCTCAACAAAAACCGGGAATTGCAATACTGTGAAAATGGTGACAGGTAAGCCTTTTGGCATATCGAAAATCGGGGCAAGGATAATGTCGATAATCACAGTGGGCGGCCACGAGGTAACCAGAAACTTGAGCGAGCCGAGCGACCAGACAATAATGCACATTGACGTGTATGCAGACTATTTGAGTGGTATAAGCCCACAAACGACTTCTAGAGCACTGAGAGCACTACTCATGAGAGGGGGCAGCAAGTCGGTACGTGTTGATAGCAGATATACTGAAGCTTATGGTCCACACGAGGTGATGCTAAATATAGATGGGATTAACATCTATACCAAGACGATGATAACATGTGACGAAGACCTAATTGGACAAATCTACGTAGGGAAAGAAGAATTGAAAGTGAGATCGATTGGACACTGCGCCATGCTTGAAGAAGATGCAATGCACATCGGGACGGAGGCAGATGTGACAGGGCACGTGCTGGATATAAGTGGCAAAAAGACTCAGTTGCGTGGGTTGCTTGACACGGGAGCAGTCTTGAGCGTCATACCAATCGAAACTTGGGAGAGGATGGGCTTTGACAAAGGTGACTTGATAGACTCGAGAATACGGCTGTCGGCTGCAAACAAAGGGGCCCTTCGGGTGCTGGGCAGGACGCCGATAATAGCCCTCAATTTGGGGGAACGTAACGTGTGGATGAGCTTTATCGTGGAGGAAAACCTAGATGAATCTGACCAATTCATTTTGGGCAGAGACTTCATCAGGAATTTCGACGTAACGATTGATCTAAATAACGCAATGTTCAGGATACGGAACCCGGATAGGAGGTACGCAATCAAACCGGTAAATTTAATAATGGCAAATGAAAACAAAGCACCGGTATTCTTGAGTAGGAGGGTGAGGCTAAAAGCTAATGAAGCGGCAATCGTAAGTTTGAGGATGAAAAATTACAATGAACTAAGTGACAACAAGCAAGTGTGCATAGTTCCGAATCCTAATAGTCAAAGTGCTGCTGTTTTAGGAAGATCATTTTCGATAACGAAGAGCGGCCTCTGCGTCAGTGTCTTGTTGAATACCCTTGATATACCGATCACGATACAGAGAGGGAGGAAACTGGGATATGCTTTACCGGTTAAAACTCGATATGAAACAATTGAGAACTCAAAACAAAATGAAGTTGTTGATTGCCCCAATCACAGGGACAAAATTTGTATCTTGAGACGATTGCAGAAAATAAAAGATTCTTCAGGTCTTATTAAATCACTTAAGTCAGAAACGGATGATGGTCTTTCGAGCTGTTCGAACTTTCCAGAGCGACCCACACTAGATGAAATGCAAAATGAAAAACCGGTCCTGCCGGAGATTGAACATTTGAGGGGCAAACTGAAAGATGAACAGCTCGAAGCCATCAAGGACGTACTAGAGCGGAACGAGGAAGTTTTTTCGAGGCATAAGGCGGATATCGGGTGTTGTAATTTCGTTGAGCATGAATTAGAACTTGAGGAAAACGCGGTACCACACAGGGAGGGGGCGAGGCGCATGACCCCACACAAATCGGACGCGTGTAGAAAAGAGATCGAGACGTTACTAGAGTATGACATGATAGAACCATCCAAGTCACCGTGGGCGTGTGGAGTAGTGATGGCCAAAAAGAAAGGCGACCAGTTGAGGTTTTGTTGTGACTTTCGATACCTGAACTCCGTCACGGTGAAGGATGCCTATCCCATACCTAGGATTGATGAGAGCCTCTCGAAGTTAGGTGATGCAAAATTTTTTACGACTCTTCATTTAGGCTCGGCCTTTTGGCAAGTACCACTAAGGAAGCAGGACAGGGACAAGACAGGGTTTGCCTGCGAGTTGGGTCTGATTCAATGGAAACGGATGCCGTTTGGACTTTGCAATGCCACAGCCACGTTTCAGCGGTTGATGGCACTCGCGCTGATAGGCGTAACGAAGAAGTATGGCAATCTGGTAATGTGCTACGTGGATGACGTGGTAATAGCGACGCCAACACTGGAAGACCACATTGAGAGACTAGACGAAGTGTTTGCATGCATGAAGAGGTCGGGGCTAAAGTGTAAACCATCAAAGTGCGAGATACTCAAGGACTCAATAAAATACTTGGGCAGGATGGTAGACAAGCAAGGCATCAGACCTGATACGGACGCCGTGGAAGCAGTCCTGACCTGGAAATCACCGAAGACAGAGCACCAGTTGATGAGCTTCCTGGGTTTCGCTAACTATTATAGAGAGTTCATCAAAGGCTATGCAGACAAGGTATACCCGATGCAACAATTAATGAGACACAAGGGCAAGAAGTTCACGTGGAACAACGCAGCAGAAGAGTCATTCCAGAGGATAAAGAAAGAGCTATGTGAGGCACCAGTACTGGGTATGCCGACTGAGAAAGGGATGTACGTGCTAGACACGGATGCGTCGGTAGTCGCGATTTCTGGGATTCTCCACCAAGAACAAGAATGGAATGGGAAGACAGTCTTGAGACCAATAGCGTACGGGAGCAAAGTCCTGAGTGACACGGAAATGAAGTACGGAGCACCGAAAGCTGAGATGTTAGCGGTGGTTACCTTTGTCGAGAAATACAGGGCGTACCTGGGCAGTGAGCCATTCAAGTTGCGAGTCGACAACAGAGCACTGAGCTGGCTGAAAACGTACTCAATGGACCAAAGTTACATTGGGAGGTGGATAGTTCGCCTGGACGGATACAACATGATAATTGAGCATAGAACGCGAGATAAACATCAGAATGCCGACAGCTTGAGTAAGAAGACGGAGTTCTATGAGAGACAAGAGCAAAGAGAAGCAGACAGACCTGAAATCAAAGATGGCTTCTCATTCATGAACAAGGAAACGTACGACAGTCTTCCACTCACGAGATGGCTGGACAAGTCAGGCAAACCGATAGAAGATCATCCTGAATTGCCTAAAGAGCCTCCAGAGAAGACCATCTTGAGGAAGAGCAAGAGGATTCCGATTGAGATTATACTCAAGTCGAAGATCGTGAAGGAGACGCTCAAGGCAAAAGGCTATGATCTTAACCAGGTGGAAGCAGGAACTGCACAGATAGATGATGACTTAATGAGGTTGCTCGAGAAACTATCAGATGATAAGCCAGTGATCCAGGAGAAGGGTAAAGAGAAACCGGAATTCACTATACTTCGGAGAAAAGAGACAGTGAACGATACTGACTCATCAAGAGGAAGCGTCACTGACAGCAAAGATGTCGTGCGGTCACTAGTTGACAAAATCCCCGAAGACATTCTGGAGCAGACCAAGGTTAGGAAAAAGAAAGTGACGTTCAAGGAAGATACTGAACACCTGGGACTAGGTCAAGAGTCCGGGGAGTGTTCCAGGTTCACGGAAGAAGGAATCGGAGAAGGAAAATTGTCCGGGGAGCGTGAAGGATGGGATGAAGACTCGGATGAGAGCAGCGAAAACCAGGACAGTCTGTGCATGATACTGGCGGAAGAGAAGACAAGGCACCACGACAGGGAGTTACAGACGGATCCATCTTCAGGAACATACAACATGGACATACAGGAGATGCGAGGTGGTGAGGAACTTGAGAAAATTGCGGTCGCAAGGAAACCATTCAGGGAACTATCATGCAACTCAAACATCAGAACGAATCTGTTGCCAGAAGATGATATGAAAATCGTGAAAAGGATGATATGCGTGAAACTGAGTGATGACATCCACAACCCTGGTGAGATGAATCGACAGATCATGGCGCTAAAGGAGCATGTCAAGGCAAGATATAGGCTGTCAGACCTAATAAGAGCCCAGAAGAATGACAAAATGACAAGTAACCTCTCCAAATGGATCCAGTCGGGGGTCAAGGAGAAGGGGGAACTTGAGGAAGACAGCTACAAGATCTTGAGCCAGTTCTACAAAGAAAAGAAAGACTTACTTTATCACACAGCTGATGGAGTGGTAGCGTGCAAGAGGAGAGATGAGGAAAAGATATTACACAAACACAACCTCATCATACTACCACAATTGTACCAGACAGAGGTGCTTTTCAGATCACACGACCAGATGGGTCACCAGGGGATAGACAAAGTACAACAAAGGATACTTCACAGATTTGATTGGCCAGGAATGAGAAAAGCTTGCGAGAGATGGGTGAATGCCTGCCTGGCATGTCTCCAGGTAAAAGACCCAAGGAAGATGAAGTTTCCCCTCAAGTCCGTTGAGAGCTCGGAGTTCAATGAAGTGGTGCAGATAGACCATCAAAAAATCTGCATGACAGAGTCGGGATACAACCAGATACTGGTTATAATAGATCACTTCACAAAGTTGGCGGAAGCGGTTCCGTGCCAGACAGCCTCGGCCGAAGAGACATGTGATCATCTGATAACGCATTGGATATCGCGGTATGGTTGTCCAATGACTTTCCAGTCGGACAACGGCAAAGCTTTTGTGGGGGACTTGACAAAAGAATTGATGAAGAGATCGCACATTGCTCAAGCACACTCGACGACCTATCATCCGCAGACCAATGGGTTGGTAGAGAGACAAAACAGGACACTGGTCAACATGTTAAGGGTGTACTGCTCAAGATACATGACGGACTGGGACAAATACTTGCCACAGGTAGTAGGAGCCTACAACAGTACACAGCACTCAACTACGGGCATCAGTCCTTTCATGATGTTGACGGGCAGGGAGAGAGCAATGCCTCTGACATTCTTTTACCCGGAATACGAGGGGAAAAGGACGTCGCCTCAGGCATACGTGAAAGAAGCGATCAAAAGACAACAGGAGTTGAACGAGCTATGCAGGAGGAACACGGCGCAAGCGCAAATGAGGCAACGCAGGAAATACGACGAAAAAATATTAAGAGCAAAGCCATATGAAGTGGGCCAATACGTGTGGGTCTTCCAAAATGTAATACCGCCCAAGGGAACAAAGAAACTACTCAAGAAGTGGAGGGGACCATTCATGATAACGGAGGTTCATCAACAAGGACGGTTCTATCGCTTGAGTACTGGGCGAGCGGCACATTATGAAAATCTGAAGCCTCACGTCCCGTCCCCAGAGGATTGGTGCATACCGAAGGACATGGAGGGTCTTGAGTACCTGGTGGTAGAGCCAGCGTGTGAAGTGAATGAGAAAGGTACTCGAGAGAAAAATGATGGTAATGAGAACTTGAGTTTGGACGACAATGAAAAGATAGGAGTGGGGTCTGATGCAGGATCATTTGTAGAAGAAGACTGGGACGACCCGGAGCAAGACGAGGTGCCGAAGTGGATGGAGCCGGATCGACCGACACCACCGGAAACCAGGACTGGCAATCGTAAACGCACCGGCATGAGGTACAACAGGTACGGGGATGACTTCTTGATCGATAAGATACAACCAGACAATTTGGGCGAGGAGTTACTGAAGGCAGGCGAACTGGAAGCCGGAGAGGAATGGCAGGTCATTAATGATGGTGGTCATTATCCGCAGGATGATTATTCGACGCCAGAAGAAGAAACGGATCTCGAACAGAGTGAGATAGAGAGGAGGGAGAACACGAACTTGAGGATTCTAGAGTGGATGCGTGATGTCAAAGACGAGAGCCGCGAAGGACAAAGCATTCAGCAAGTCGATGTATCAGCAGCAAATTACATGAAGACAGAGGACCCTCTTTTCGGATGGACGGCAACAGACAGGCCACTGGACATTCCTCAGGACAATTCAGACCCGACAACATCGACGGCGACGTCGATAAATATTTTTGTCCGGGGAGTGGGGGTAGGACTTACCCACACCGAAAATTTGATGATAAAGAAGCTCAAGGAAGTGAGAGAAACGAGCGAATTGGAACTGGAGGAAGAAGAGCCAGAGCCTACTATAGGTCGGAATTTCAAAACGAAATTCGAAATACCCAATGAATACTCGGAGAAAATCATGATAACGGATAGCGACTTCATCCTGTCAAACAGGACCAGCGCGATCTGCATCACGGCGGACATGAGTTTCAAATCAAGATTGGAAGCTGACTTCAAAAGAGAGTACCAGAATGTAGAGTTTCTGTTCAGACAGAGACCAGGACTGGGAGGGATGGCAGCGCTTCCACCGTCAGTGGCACAAGTCCCGGGCAAATATCTGTGCTTCCTAGTAACGAGGGTCAATGACAGGAACACAATCGATCCCGAACACGTGATATTGGCACTAACAAGATTACGAGACTTCATGATTGAAAGAGGGATAACAGAGGTCTCAATGCCGGTGTATGACCCAAACAGGGGTAAA